GCAAAAGCTTTTGCTCCCAGTACTTCTGTTAGTCTCAAAGGTGCCACAGGACCCTCTGTTGCTTTTTACTAGTGAAAGTAATACTGTATAGATGTATACAGTCAGTTCAGTTAGATGTGTACATAAAATTTGCCTATTTTAATTGTATATGTGACTAGCTTCTACGTCTTCTGAATAACCTTATACAATCTTTACTGCTATCTTCAGATTTAACTGTAATTGGTCATGTTTCTAGCAGCTGTCATTGGTAACCTGGCCATTGATTGTATTTTAGTGAACACAGTCTCAGACATGCACACACAATACTGTAGATACAGTAAGAATTGAAGGTAGATGTAGAACAAGGGTTCAGCCAATTCAGTTTTAAATATCCTCCCAGCAATAACACAAGGCTTTATTTGAAATGAATCTTTCAAAGTGCCTTCTATTTTCCTGTGGTTGTTTATTTAAACATCTCTATTATGCAAATCCACCTGAAAATGCATTTCATTTTCTCATGAGAACTTGTGGGGTTTTAGTTAGTGTGCATGGTATTCTTACTGCATGAGAGTATATACTCTATCAGCTTTGTAAAGTTATTCTGCAGATACATTTTGGAAAAATTTTGGAAAATTTAATATAACTTTTTATAGTATTAATCAGGCAAGTGTGCACCAAAGAGGTAAAGGTCTTAGTGAAGTTTGTTAGATTTAATATTACTGAGACTGGGGGCGAGAAGAGATTTACATTAGAAAAGATAAGCTTCCAAACCTGCCAAGCAGTCCAGAGAATATTATCCCTTTTTGTATAGAGTTATGTCATCCAGTGACAATTATATCTTAGACGATTGTTTGCTAGGTTAAGAGCTTGAAAATAAAGTTGGGTTAATCCATCTTATTAAATGGAATCACTCTGACTGTACACAGTCATCTTTTTATTCATTTTGTATTGTTTGGCATGGCACTGTGAACATACCTTTTTATCTACAGAAAGTGCTGAGATTCAGTAGACATTTTGCAGCAAATGTATTATGAAAGAAGCAGAGAGGCTAGTATTGTCTAATATTACTATTGGTATTTAATGCAGACTATGCAAGCACATGTTTTTAGTGACAAAATTTATTCTCTAATTTAGACATCTAGGGCCTGATGCTAAACCATTTACACCAAAAGGAATACTTTGCCACTGACTTCAAAAGAATCTAGTCCTTACTGAATGTAAATCTGAAGCATGCTGGGCTTTCTTTCAGAATATTTGTTTGCGAAATCTAATGATTCACCATTAGTACTTGCGTGGGATTCTTTCCTATATGGTTGAACTCTACCTTGAAAAGTTACAAAGCAGCATAAACTGCTAATACACATTTTTACAGTCTGAATATTTCTCTTTTAAAAAGTACTGCCACTCTCTTGGTTAATAAGTTGTTATTGGAAGGTTTCTCTCTTCGCAATTATTCTTGACATTTATTAAAATAAACTATTACCTACCCCCACTGACTTTTGCAAAGTTGTAATAGTAGAGAATTCAAGAAATAGTCAAACTTTTTCCCTAAATACATGGATTATGCACTGTAGAGGACGATAGATATTACTTGGTTTACTGTGAATTAATGATGTATAACAAACAATGTGTTAGCCAATGAAAGGATAAATCATTATATTTCAAAAGTATAAGGAACAGTTTTTATGTCTTTCTCCACAGATGTTAAATAACCACCAAAACTATATTTGTATACTACTTAGCATAGACCACTATGTCCTTGTGATTTATCCATATAAACTTTCTTAATGCATTCATTTAAATGTATGTAAAATGAAGTTTATTTAGAAACCTGAAAATGAGAATCACATTTCTTTTTATTTATAGACATTTCTGTAGTGCTCACTGTTAAAAACATTTTATACAGAGTTAAATAGTAACAGTAACTTAAATATTCCTGATTATTTTGTACTGCAAAACTCTGGTTGTCTTGTGTTTAAACCAAACCTGTGCTGAAAATTGCATGGTGCTGGACTTTTTTGCCTGCAGTCAAATGAAACCCAGTTTCAATGTCAGATTGCCATTTCTTATAGAGAGAAACAAAAATAAATGGGTCTTTTATTTTTTTATTTTTGTACCTGCCTCATGCATTCTGCTTTGTATTTCTCTTGCTTCTTTTTCTATAAATACATTAGGCAAGAAAAATATTTTCAACTATTGGAGTCTATATTTAAAAGTTTTTCCATTTTCCATCTTAGGTAAGGTGCCGGTCAGTGTAGTATATGTGCATACTAAAAAGCCATGTATGTTAATAGGAGTCTTTACATGACTTCAAAGGCCTTTGGTTTTGGCTCTATTAACCCAAAAATCTTTCTGCTCCATAGTTTGTGGTTTGATGACTTTTTAGAGTGTTATATTCCAGGATCTTAAAGAACTTTGTTTAATATTACGTGACCCCCTTAGTTCCCAGAATAATGAATATTAAAGATGGGTAAACTGAGACACAAAGCGATTAAGTGATTTGGCTAAAGCAAAACAGCAGAGCAGTGGCAAAGCCAAGAATAGAAGCTCGCCCCTTGGCTCCTTGTCCTATGTTCTATGTACATAGCTTCTTCTATCATTTTAATTACATGACACCAAACACAGCTATTTTAAAAGAATATTAAACCAATATTATTAGAGTTGCAAAGTCAAGCACTCAAAAGTTGGAAAATTCCTGAATTAATAGGGTGACCATCCGCACCATTTTTAAAGGGACAGTCCCATTTTTTGGGGACTTTTTCTTATGTAAGTGCCTATTATTCCCCACCCCCTGTCCCGTTTTTTCACAGTTGCTATCTCCCTTGTGAGTATGCATTATGATAGTCTTTAATTACATGATTACAAGCTATTTTTTTCACAAGGCCTCTGCCTCATTCAGTTCACAGAATGGACTGGGATCAATATTTTTCATCATTGTTCAACGTGTGGCATTAGGTCTTATTTATTGCATACTATTCAGACCCTGCTCTGAAGACAAAATTAATAATTTCCTCATAGGCTTTTATATGGTGCTCGTCACTATAGTATCTGAGTGTTTCACAAACATTATTGAATTTATCTTCACAAGATCCCTGTGAGTTGAGGGGGTGATATTATCCCCGTTTTACAGTTAGGAAACTGAGGCACAGAGAGTAAAATCAAAAGTATCCACTAATTTTAAGTGCCCAATTTGAGATACCAAGGACCTGATTTTTAAGAGTACTTAGCATTATACAGCTCTTTATTTGTTCAAATCACAGCCACCATTGACTTCAGGTACAGGTCTGTGTGCTCAGCACGTCTTCAAATCAGACCCCAGGGTCTCAAGTTGTGTACCCACCCAGAAAATGAGGAACACACAATTAGTGACTACCTGTGAAGAGTTTGGTTAAGGTCATGTCTACATTGCAGCTGGGAGGTCTGATTGGTATGAGGAGCTGACTAGCTCAGCTTGAGGTAGCACATAAAAAATAGAGTGTGGATGTTGTGGCACTGGCAGCAGCTTGATCTACCTGCCTGATCTTGGACTGAGAGGGTTGGGTGGAGTTGGGCTCCAGCAGCTGGCCCGAGCTGCCCCCAGTGTTGCAAAATCCACACATTTAGCATGGTAGCTCGAGCTGAGCTAGTGTGAGTCTGTCTGCCCATGATGGGAATCACACCTCCCAGCTGCAGTGTAGACATACCCTCAGTGACTTGCTCAGCATCATACAGGAACTCTGTGGGAGAGGCAGAGATATAATCCAGTCCCCCAGGGCAGCATTCAGCTGCCTTAACGGACGAGACCAGGCTTTCTGTCATGGTAATCCCTTGCCTCATTCACTACACACCTCCCAGCTTCTACAACAAATGAAACGAGTCTTACAGATAACAGTCTCCTTCACTACACAACCCTGATTACTCCCTATATCAGGTCTATTCTGTGCACTGAATGAGGGAGGGGTCTTGTTGGAAAGTAGTTTGTGATCATGTAATTAATAATGTTCCTTTAACATAGTTTTTGTGTGTAATTTCCCAAGTTATTTGCAATTACAAAGTTACAAAGACATTGTAGGCTACTTAGATTTTGCAACATCTATGCTTGGTAATTTTTCACAAGGATGCATAAGAAGCCCAAACCACTGTTAGACTGAGAAGAAAATTGTGGAATTTCTTCAGTAAGAAAGGAATCAAAACCACCCATTTGATTGTTTGAAGTTTACTGAGTTATTATTTATCATTCTTTTTATGTAAAATGAACATGTGATGAGTGGGTCAAAGGGAGAATATATAATAATCCATATGTCTTTCAGCAAAGGCAAAACCAGGGGCTCATAACTAAAACGGGCCTAGAATTGCTAACATAATAAAGATTTGAGATTTCACCAGTTTTCTCAGAAACAGAACACTAAATGAACTGCAGAGTCAAAACAGTTATGGAAGTCAGAGTTACACCAAGGATCAATTTGGTGTATTCTGTGTGGTGTGGCAGAGCTCCTTCTCTGGCTTGGTGGATTCCGTGCTTCCTCTGAGCCGGGGGCTGGGGAATTCCTCTCTCCCTTGAATTTCCCCACATCCCTGGGTTTACTGTCTTCACCTTGCCAGAGCAGAGGTTCCTCCCAGCCTTCCTGACAGGCGAGGGGAGCCTCTTAGTCTCTGGTAGCTCCTCCGGCTGTAGTGGCAGCAGGCCAGACACCCAGTTCAGTCTCTCCCCTCTGGTGGGGTCTCTTCCCCCAAACCTCTAGGGCCCAGAAGGGCTGTACGCCTGGTTGGGCAGGGTTTCCCCTGCTTTTCACCTGTGAGATGTTCCTTCTGGCATTTGTCAGTGTCTGCACCATCCAGCTCTCCAGTAGCACACCTGCTCCCCACAGTTCCT